ATAGCTATCTTTCCATTTTTCTCTATTTTTAGTTTCCCAGACTTCCGTTGTTATTTACATTACAGTATCAGCACAACCTTCCATAGTGCCATAGTGTAAGAAGGTACGAGCTGTCTTGTGGTTGTGGTAAGGGAGCGACCAATCATAGTTGAACCGAGGACAGTGTTTAGTGGCGTCCGTGACAGAGACAAATGAGCTGTTGCGAATTGAGCTTTCTGCTTCGGGTAACTTGTCTTAGAGGCTTAGAAACCGTCCCGGAAGTTATGGACTCGTTTAAGGTGTGGCTTTCTGGAGCTCCTTTTAAACTGTGCAGAGGCCTGTGTGAGCCGTCTTTAGCCTTACGTATATTTAGTAAATTTCCTTTCGCTCGGTCTCGGGCGTGTATTACGTGGGGTCGAGGGCCTTGTTTTCTTCCTTTCTTCGGCGTTCTCAAACTTAACAAGACCCGAGTGCTTGTCATGTATTTTCTCCTCCATTGTGCACCTTTTTTTCACGCGATATAGTGTCACGGGGAATGACATGTCCGACTTGCGTTTCCCAGGGGGCTTGGGAGGCTATTGTTTGCGCCGGACGAAACGTGTCTGTTGGGATTTCTTTATAGGTTACATTTCCTCGACTTTGGTATAAGATTTTATCGGTTCTTATTTATTTATGTATTTTGCACCCTGGGTTTATTTTGGGAATGCTCATTTGGGAAGCAGATAATGACGCATATTTAGGACAATTTGGGGGCTGGTATTGGCTCTAGGACTAATGCCAAAGTCGAGGATTTGAAATGCTATAGGTCCTGCCAGATGTCAGTTCAAGATTACAGTTTTTTGTGAAATGTCAGAATAACTTCCTCGTACGAGATGTGACACGGATAGATCCCCGAGTCAGGATCAGCCTCGAGTGAGTCGCGACTCGCCTCCCGCGCTCCAGACTCGGCCGGAAGTCACGGAGAGCCTGACTGGAGACTTAACTGAGTTATGGACCACAAATAACTAGGATATCCCTTCCGTGCGATCCGCCCGCGGCATGTGTAGGGGAGGACGTAATCGGCCCGCAGGACGACGGAAAGCGATGAACGTGAGGGATTAGAATCGCGACAGGAAATTACGGCGATCTAACCTTGGCCGTGCAGGCGCCCAGACGCGTCCGTGCTCCTGCGGGAGATTTTCGCCGGGCCTTTAACGCTGGCTTATCTCGAGTCCCAGTGTATTGGCGGGGATTTTATCTTTGAGCGGCGCGGGTGCATTTCCTTCCATCATGTCCCCGGCCGCCACCACGCTCTTTGCTATTATGATTGTCGCGTTTGAATTCGTATCAGGAAAGAATGGCGTATGGAATTATACATAAAATACAGAAAAGTTAGAGTGGCAAGATTCAGTTCGAGATATTGCTTTTATACAAGAAGTGAGGCTGAGACGCCGTGCAGCAGATGGCAGGGGATGGCACGGCAGATGGCATGCGGGGCGAAGGTGAGGTCCCGTGCACCTTGTTCTGGCAAAGCAAGGGGCAGCTGTGCTTGGCATTGCTCAGGGATAGAGCGGTTAGGCCGGAGGCGCAGTAATAGCAGGGGACATCCCCTGGTGGGGGAGGGGGGCTGTTTGGGACTGCTTGTGAAACAGGTGCCGTTGAAGTCGCGGAGAAATGAGTGGTTAGCGCCTAATTGTGTGTGAGTGGGCAGGACCGGGTGGGGAGGGGGGGGGGGAAGAGGGTGATGATGGGGGAGGTTTGGGGCAGTTGCGGGAGTACTCCCCTCCCCTACCCCCCCTGTCCCTCCCTGGCTGGCCGGTGGGAGTCGTCGTAAACCCATCGATCCCGGGGCGCCGTGGGAAGCCTGCGACGGCGAGGGCTGGGGCGGCGGGGGATTACGGCCGGGGATGATGGTGCCTTTTTGTTGCTTCTCCAAGGACATTGTGAAAGGAGGGCGGCCGGGGAAGGACACGGGGAGGATTTTATATATATGTCCATATATATGTATATATACACACACATACAAATTTATCTATCTATCTATCTATCTATCTATCTATCTATCTATCTATCTATCTATCTATCTATATATATATATATATATATATATATATATATATATATATATATACACTGTGTGTGTGTGTGTGTGTGTGTGTGTGTGTGTGTGTGTGTGTGTGTGTGTGTGTGTGTGTGTGTGTGTGTTTATGTGTGTTTATGTGTATGTATATATATATATACATATACATATATATGCATATACATATTGTATGTACATATGTATGCATTTATATATATATTTGTAAATGAACATATATTTATGTACACACGCTCACACACACACACACGCACGCACACACACACACACACACACACACACACACACACACACACACACACACACACACACACACACACACACACACACACACACACACACACACACACACAGGGCCCTGGAGGGATAATGAAGGCTCCCTCCGCCGCCCTGGGAGAGAGAGAAAGTCGTCCTGGAATAACGTCTAAAAAATGTTTGTCGCCATCAAGGTCAAGCCAGGCTGGAGGGAAGGGGCGGGGCTTGTTTCACACGTTTACAAGCACACAGACACGCCCCTTCGCTCTCCTGCGCGGACCTTTCGCCTCTGACCGCCCTTGTGTCCGGTTCGTCCGTAGTGCCGTGTTTTCCCGCGTCTCTGGGCCTCGTTCGGCCACGCCCCTTCGCATCCTTGGTCCCTCCCCGACTGCGCTCTCCACGACCGGCTCCTCCTTCCTTCTCACTCCACTTCCACGTGTCGCTTCCACTCCCTGTGCCACTTCCGCCGTCGGACGGTGCCAACGCCTTTTCAACCAGTTTCATGCATATCCTAGAATTCAAATTACAGAACTGTTAAGAGGGATATTACGCAGCCGTATTACGAGGCATTATCAACCTACGTCGGTATAATATCAGCTTTAGTGACTCCGACAAAACCCGGCAAGCAGCTCGAGGTTTGCGGTGGCAGTGCTAGGTAATGGGTGGGTTGTGGGTGGCGGTTTTTGTGCAAGTCAAGGAGACTCGTGGCTCATGTGTGGAGTCGAGGCGGAGGTAAGGCCCGCTTCTTCTGTCTGTACTTCCTTCCTACTCGTGTGAATATTCCTTTTTTCTTGCCTGTTGCTCTCACTGAGGGAAAGCCATTAAGGGCTCCTCTTTGTGAAGTGTATTTGATTTGGAAATGAATTGTGATTGATTGTAGAAATCCGAAAAGCTTGGGAATTAAAGGATTAAGGTCACAATTTTTGTCCTGTTGGTTGGAAATTGAATATAGTACATACCTGAGGATTTGTGAGTTGATCTTAATGACCTGTTTTTGATCTGGGAAAGTTATTTAAGGATATAATGTATCAATAGGAACTAACCGTCTGTGGATTCTGCCATTCTTCGTTTCAAGTGCTGTGCTTTCTTGTACTTCGGCTTTCTGGCTTCATTATTATTTTACTTAAGTGTGTATTTTAGCTGGTTTACTATTTATGATTTTATGGTTTGGCGGTCAAATTTGAGGGCGAGGATCAAGGTGTGAGAAGAGGCAAGGCGAGGCGGTGTGTAGGGAGGGAATACGTAAGGACTTTTATAAGTAGATAATATCAAGAAGCCAGTGATTTGGTGCGAGAAAGGTAGACATTTTCCCAGCCACTCTGAATACTAAACAGGTGGGATTAATTAACAGGATATGTAACTACGTATGTGATAACACGGTCAAGCCATACTTCAGGAGCCTGTGGGAAGATAGCTTGGGATATTAATGTTTATTAGAACGGAAGGGAAGGAAGAAGACTTTGTAGAGTTTGATCCTGTACTGAAATGGTAAATATTTACCTCTATTGTCATCCTTCTCTTGAATGACAAGTATTTATTATTCACGAAAGTATTATTACTCTGCCAAGACGTCCATAAAAAAGGAGAGAAAACGAGGGATGAAATAAGGTCTCCATCACTCTGGGATCGTGAGGGGCCTCTGTCATGGAGCCAATTATAAGGCTGTCACCTCCGCCTTCCTCGCCTATCGGGTGTTACCTTCGAGAATTGTTATCTCCCGTTGATGGCGTTTCTTCTATCACAATGAACAGGAGATCGGATTTTTTTATGCATAATTTAAGTTGGGATAACGTGTCTGGGAAGTTGTGGGATAGGCAGAGATATGTGGCAAGAGGGTAGGTGAGCCAAGAAAGGTTTGGCCGCTGTGGAATGCCGGGCGGTTGGTGGCGTTGGTGCGAGTGAGCATATGGAGGCAAATATCAGCCGTCCTGGACCCAGGAACCGCTGCTTTAACCACCGGTGTCCTCACTCTCCTCACTCGGGAGTCCTGAGGAGAAAATGGTGACTTGTCCCGTTTAATCCCGTCTTTATTACCTTGGTTATATAATCTTCACGGGCTATTGGTTACTTGCCTTTTATTTTCTTTAATCATAGATCGGTTTTGGACGACAGCATCGTCTCGCTGTTTGCATCGTCGGGCGGGCTTCTGTTGAAAGTCCGGGGTCGGAGGCACAAAGGGAGTTGTTTATATGCTCTGCTGTGATCTTTTTTATGGTCTGAGATGCGACTTAATCCCGTCTCTTGGTGCTGATCCTCACACACTCGGGGGGGAAGGGGGTGGGAAGGGTGGGGGAAGGGGAGGGGAGGGGTGAAGGGAGGCGGCTTCGTGCGATGTGGAGGAGCTACGGGATTACTGGAGGTCCTTTCATGGGCGGTGGGCGGAGGCGGGGCAGAACATCTCATTGTTGGAACGTTTTTCTTCTTTGGGGGATCGGAGACTGGCACTTCATCCATCTTCCTCCCTGGCGTTAACCCTTCCCTGCCGGTGAGACTTTACGGAACTCTCTGTGATGTGAGTTATGACTCCGCTTCATTGGCGTGATATCATTACATCTTCATCGCCTCCGCTTTACCCCTGTTATTAGCATTGTTTCACTGTTACCAATTATTACTGCGTGATAGGTTGTCAGTAAGTACTGACAGAAGAATTATAAAGAGTTGTAATTAACCGTTTTGTTTTTCTTCGCAGTGGCGGCGGCACCCTTGATCGCCGAGCCTCGTGGCAGCCTCAGGGGAGCACTTGCGGCGCAGAAGCCTCCCAGGACTCTTCCTCTGGCGAGGCCACTGTCACCGAAGCCAGCAGGGGCGCCTCCCCATCCTCCTTCAGTTCCTCCTCGCGGGGCGCGTCTTCCGAGTCCACCACCCTCACCAGGTCCTCGGCGGGACGGGCCTCCTCCAGACGGTCTCCGCTGCCGCGATACCCGTCGGCAGAGAGCCTCACCTCCTTCGCTGAGTCGCTAGTCAATCCAGGTGGTGCCAGTTCGTCCTCGTCCTCTCTGGTGCCAGCCAAGAGCACGCCCTCGCTGCACCAGAATGCCGCCCACGCTCACGCCTTCGCTAGCAGGAACTCAAGTGTGAACGCTGCACTGCACGCCTCCAGGTGATGACACTTTCTTGTGCTGGTGCCTCGGGGCTTCATCCCGGACGCCCGCGTTGTAATTATTTGTTCCATTATATGCGAGGTGGCAGGAGCGACGCAAGGCCACGTGCCCAAATTGGACGTAATGTTCGTGAATCGGGGAGCGCTCTGCGGGTGTCGTCCCTCGTGGGCGCGATGCCTCGCGTCCTTCGCGAAACCCTAATGGTCGTGACGCTGCGAGGTGTTGCCTATGCATGTTTTTCTGCCGAATCTTAGATGCTGTTCGCAGTTCATCGTTGCATTTATTGTAATATTTTATTGATAAAGATCTTCCCGGTAAACAATGAAATCATTTTCATTAATACAAATGTTTTAAGAATTTTTACTTTTCAAAACACAAAAAAACAAATACACTATACAGCTCGTTTGCAGGATTACAGTTCATACACATTTTTTTTGGCAATGTGGGCGTATCTCAAGACTTGGGTCACCCGAGCACAGGTGTATCCGCTGCAGGTAGAATAGGAACAGGTAACGTCCCGTACAGATGACCTCAGAGAACAGGTTCCTTCGTGCAGGTGACACCCAGTGCAAGTTTTTCTGATACAAAGCAACTGCCTGTAAATGTTTGATGAGCGCAGATGTAACGGCGTTTTTCTCCTGTTGTGCACTTGCTTCACGTCCAGTCGGTTAAGTTCGGTGCGCTATGGAATCATGGCGTTCGGAAAGTGGCTGCCGCGGGGCTGGTCGCTATTAGTCAGTTGGACAACGGGTCTGGGCGTACGGTATGTCCTCTCCTGTCTTTCTCACACTTACGGTACTGAATCTCCCCTTTATGGTTCGTCGTCTGCCTTTCTTTCATTTGATTTTTATCCCCGATTCCTCGCGGGGACAGTGTGTGAAGTCGTACCCCTTGCTTCTGTCTGCCTCGGTATAACCTTCATGTCCTTCAAGTGTCTTCGCTAATACGTACCCTCATCCTCATCTCATTGCGCCGGAAGCCTTAGTCATTCGACGCGCTAATCATGGCGGCCGTGACAGTACCCGAAAATAGAAGAAGAAAAAAAAATTAATGACTAACTTTATGAAAGAAAATTATTGGAAGTAGAGGAATAATTGCTACGATAGGACACGCGAAATTGGTTTATGCGATTGAGTATATGGAAGGAGATGAAAAACAAATCTGCTGTTTCATCGACTAATGCAATACCGGGAATAGAATGGCAGTATCAAGTCACCTTCCCCGTTCATTGGCTGTGCGTTATTTCAACAGAGCGCGACGGTTCTTGCGTAGACGTAATAAAGAACCATAATGAAATTAATGAGCTTGGACTGTGAATATTCCAGTAGTTGTTCTGGTAGATGCTAATTGTGTTGGTTTGTACACGTCATCAGTTGTTGATTAATAGGCAATCAAGCGTCGCTACCAATTAAGTAAAGAATGCTAATGAAGAGGGCGTGGGGATAGGGCTGTCCGGCAGCCCTGCCCGCCATTAAACTTCCTCAGACGCTCCTTCGGGGATTCGAGACGCTTTCTCTATCCCTCTCTCTCCCGCCTCTGCCCCGTCTCTCTCCCTCTCCTCTCCTCTCTCTTTCTCTCCCTCCCCCTCCCCTATCCTTCCCCCATCCCTTCTCCTTCCTCCTCTCTCTCTCTCTCTCTCTCTCTCTCTCTCTCTCTCTCTCTCTCTCTCTCTCTCTCTCTCTCTCTCTCTCTCTCTCTCTCTCTCTCTCTCTCTCTCTCTCTCTCTCTCTCTCTCTCTCTCTTTCCCTCTCCCTCTCTCCCTCTCTCCTTCTCTGCATCCCCCCCTCTCTCTCTCTCTCTCCCTCTCTCTCTCTCTCTCTCTCACTCACTCTCCCCCCCCCCTTCCTTCCTTCTCCCCTCCGTTTCCCCTTCTTTCCTTTCCTCCCCCCTCTCTCTCCCTCCCTCCCTCCCCCTCCTCTCTCGTTTTCCCTCTCCTCCTCACCCCTTGTTTCCTCTCTGCAGGTTTTGTATTTTTATTTACTATGTTAACCGTTCTGTTTTGCCTCCTTGTTTCTTGCTCTCTTCCTTCGTGTCTCCTTGAACTGCAGCGAACGAGCAAGTGCGTGACCTGTACATGCCCGGTAGCCCTACCCTAGCCTACTCTGCCCTACCCTGCCCTGCCATTCCCTTCCCTACCCTGCCATGCCCTTCCCTACCCTGCCATGCCCTTCCCTGCCCTGCCATGCCCTGGCCTACCCTGCCCTGGCCTGCCCTGCCCTGCCCTGGCCTGCCCTGGCCTGCCCTGCCCCCTTCCTAACGGCGCGGCGTGGCAGACACTTACGACCCGGCTGAAACGGCGAGACATCTCCCGCGCGAGGGACAGTTATTTTAACGAGGGACTTGTCAGGTTCTCCGCCGTTAACGAGCCTTCCTGCAGCGACGAGGGCCGGCCGGAGGTAGCTGACGCGGGGAGAAGTAATGGCCGGGGAAGAGATGAGGGAGAGTAGGAAAGGAGTAATCAGGGGAGAGGGAATGGAGGAGAGTTCGCGTTAGAATTTATTAAAGGCGAGCTTAAGCACAAAGAAGGAAGGGCGGTGAAGGCGTGTAGGATTCAGATCAAGGGAAGTGGACTCGAGGCGCATCGTCCAGGGATGTGCGTCTGGACCCTCCCAAGGATCGTAAAAGTGAGCGGGGTCAATCTCCTCCAAGTTATGAACACTTTAGTACTACCACTGCAGTAAATTGTTGTTGTTATTGACTTTATCATTAATGGATTTTCTTAAAAGTTTGTTTATACACCGTTGGAACAATGTGTTCCCCGATACTGCAAGGAAACACAGGGCCATGCACACGCTACACAAAAGAAATGACTTCATACGTAAATACTGTCACTGATAATCCCTGGGACCGGGAACTTGCAAATGCAGTTGAGGGGTTTATTAGTCTCGTGTCACTTGAGTTTGTCGGACAAAGCTTTATCTGAAGTGGGGATATTTAGCTGTTAGTCTATCCTCCGCAGTACTTCGCGACGTGCAATGAATCTGATTGATGGCTGTATATCCGAATGTTCAAATAAATGGATATAATCTAATGATGAGCTCCCTCTCACTTCCCCCTTTCCCCGAGCCCCCTACCTTCTCTCCCTTTTCCCGTCAATCTTCCTTCTAATTTTGCCCTTCCTCCTTCCCTCTCCCCTCTCCCCTTTCCTCTTTACCTTTTCCCTTCCCTCTTCCCTCTTCTCTTACCCCTTGCCTATTCCCTCTTCCCCATTCCCTTTTCCCTCTTCCCTCTTCCCTCTTCCCTCTTCCCTCTTCCCTCTTCCCTCTTCCCTCTTCCCTCCTCCCTCCTCCCTCCTCCCTCCTCCCTCCTCCCTCCTCCCTCTTCCCTCTTCCCTCTTCCCTCTTCCCTCTTCCCTCTTCCCTCTCCCTCTCCCCTCTCCCCTCTCCCCTCTCCCCTCCCCCTCCCCCCTCTCCCCTCCCCCCTCTTCCCTCTCCCCTTTCCCCTCTTCCTTCTTTTCTCTCCTCTCTTCCCTCTTCCCTCTCCTCTCTCCCTCCTTCTCCGTCATCTGCAGCTTAGCAACGGTCTGCAACAATGTCATGATCGCTTCTGTTTCTGATTTCATAGCCAGTTCCATTAGGGAAGTTTTATGGCATCTTGTGAATACGTGTGGCTTTGTTAGTCAAGTGGATTACAAATAGCTTAATTATGTTTCAAGGCCTCAGTGTTGGCTTCAAGCTGGCAGTGATTCTTTCTGCTCTCTCTCTCTTCCTTTCTTTCTCTCTGCTCTCTCACTTTCTTTCTCTCTTTCTGGTCTCTTTCTCTTTTTTCTCTCTTTCTGATCTCTCACTTTCTTTCTTTCTTTCTTTCTCTCTTTCTGCTCTCTCTCTTCCTTTCTCTCTTTCTGCTCTCTCACTTTCTTTCTCTTTCTGCTCTCTTTCTTTCTTTCTCTTTTTCTGCTCTCTCTCTTTCTTTCTCTTTTTCTGCTCTCTCACTTTCTTTCTCTCTTTCTCTTTTTTGCCCTCTCACATTCTTTCTCTCTTTCTGCTCTCTCTCTTTCTTTCTGCTCTCTCACTTTCTTTCTTTCGGCTCTCTCACTTTCTTTTTCTCTCTCTTTTTTTGATCTCTCACTTTTTTTCTCTCTTATCTTCTTTCAGTTTTACTTTCTTTCTCTCTCTCTCTGTCTTCTCTTCTCTCTTCTCTCTTCTCACGTCCCTTCCGTTCCCGTCCCTTACCTTCTTTCTTTTCTTCTCTTCTCTTCTCTTCTCTTCTCTCTTCTCTTCTCTTCTCTTCTCTTCTCTTCTCTTCTCTTCTCTTCTCTTCTCTTATCTTCTCTTCTCTCCTCTTCTCTTCTCTTCTCTTCTATTCTATTCTATTCAATTCTCTCCTTTCCTCTTCTCTTCTCTCTCTTCTCTTCTCTTCTCTTCTCTTCTCTTCTCTTCTCTTCTCTTCTCTTCTCTTCTCTTCTCTTCTCTTCGCTTCTCTTCGCTTCTCTTCGCTTCTCTTCTCTTTCCTCTTTTTCCTCTCTTTCCTCTTTGCCCCTTTTCCTCCCTTTCCTTCTATTTTCCTTCATCTCCTCTTCTTCACCCTGCCTTCTCATTATATACGTCAGCCTCGCGGCCCTTCGCCGGTCGTCATGCCACCAGTTCCCCGCAGCTAACATGCGCCGCTCCTCTTCCTCTGCTTCGGTGATTGCTGACATGACAGTTAAATTTTTTAAAAGTTGTCTGGGCTGTCAGTACTGCCATTCGGGAATTTAGGCATTGTAAAGTGTGTATTTCGAGTGTGATTGCGGTATTGAAAAAGATCTCGGAAGATCGTGATAAAATTTTAGTTAGGTACATATGTGTGTGTGTGTGTGTGTGTGTGTGTGTGTGTGTGTGTGTGTGTGTGTGTGTGTGTGTGTGTGTGTGTGTGTGTGTGTGTGTGTGTGTGTGTGTGCGCGTGCGCGTGCGCGTGCGCGTGCGTGATTGCGGCTGCGTATGCATGTATGTTAAGTGTAAGTGTGTGTTTTGTGTGTGTGTCTATGACACATCTACATACATACTCATCCATATACATACATACACATACATACATGTGCATACACATACATATATACATATACATACGCACATACATACATACATATACATACGTACATACATATACATACGTACATACATATGCATACGTACATACATATACATACGTACATACATATACATACGTACATACATATACATACGTACATACATATACATACGTACATACATATACATACGTACATACATATACATACGTACATACATATACATACGTACATACATATACATACGTACATACATATACATACGTACATACATATACATACGTACATACATATACATACGTACATGCATGCATACATACATACATACATACATACATACATACATACATACATACATACATACATACATACACACACACACACACACACACACACACACACACACACACACACACACACACACACACACACACACACACACACACACACACACAAATATATATATATATATATATATATATATATATAATATATATATATATATATATATATATATATAATGTATATATATACATACATACATACATACACATATGTGTGTGTGTGGGCGTGGGTGTGGTTGTATGAAACAAAAAAATGTCAGAAACTGTTCCTTAAGTCGGATCAGCCGGATTTGTCTCCCGTAAGGAGTTTAATTGATCATTGTGGAGCATAGTCGCCATTACGTTGCCAAGCGCCAGCATGTCGCCAGCGCAGAATGAGACGTTGAACCCTCTCCGTAAAACGTCCGAAGCAGCGTTGCCATCAGCGCCGTATACGGAAGCTTGCTGTTCGCTAATCTTGTTAGTGCTTGCTTGCGCCTCCGTGGGTTCCGATGAGGTGATTGAGAGCGACTTTGAGTCATCAGTATTGCACCTCTGACTTATGATGTAGGAAAACGATAGTATATATCTATATTATATATGTGTGTATATCCGTTTAAAACTTAATATGCTGCTTCATCATTATTTTCCTTAAAATCAGGTTTTGCTTTTTCTCCTTGGATGTTGCATGCACATATTTAAAGCTCCAATGATTTTATAATACAATATATCCTTGTACAATACACACGGAAACCTAAGCACACACTGTAGATGCATTCCTAAACATTGATATTTACATTATATTGGCATTAACCAGGACCTAGTTTTACATCACATGTGCGCATCGTGTGTACTTTTGGATTTACATATACATTTATGTACATACATGTTTTATTGATACATTTATATGGATTCCAAGGCTTACCTGTTCCCTAATTGCAGGTCAACGCCGAACCTTGACGATGCCGAGGATGGCAGCAGTATGGTGACCAAGAAGTCCTCCATGTACTCGTACCTTCACGGCACATCCTCATCCTCCAGTAAGGGCGGCATGGGCGGCTCTGGAGTCGTGGGCGGCCGATATTGGGACGTGACAATGGGCGCCGATGACACTCCAGACCGTGAAGACTACGCTCACCACCTTCGGTCTTCCTCTTACCAGCTCCTGCACTCTCGCCAGCTGTCCGCCCTCAGCTCGGGCTCGGCGGGCTCCTACCACAGTCGGCAGCACTCCAACACATCCAACTACAGCGAGTCCGATGACCTGAGTCCTCGCGCTGACGTGGGTCCCGGACACACCCACCATGCCCACCACCATGGCATGGACCGGGCCAGGTTCTTCTCCTACGATAACCTGGGCCCGGAGTCTGCGTCCCACAAGTACCACGGGTCATGGAACATGTCAGAGCCCGACCTGACCCTCGCCCCTCCACCTTACTCCCCGCCCGGGCCGGGCTTTCAGCACTCGTCACCCATTTCACCCATTCCGCCCACATCCGCGCCGCCGCCGCCGCAGACGTCGGTGCGGCATTCCCCCACTTCAAGCGCCCCTTTGTCCACAGGGCGGCACCCCTCGTCACCTCCGCCGCCTCCGGTGCGCGATGCCTCTAGTCTCAAGTACATCAAGTACGGCCCCGGCCACGAGAAGTACCCGTCCTGGCCCGTGCCCGCCGCCGCTGCCAACCAAGTCATGCCGCCGGGGCCCCCTGCGCATGACGCCAATGTGTCTGGCCTGCCCGAGTCGTCCCTCTCCCCGGCGCCGCAGGGCTCCCATCGCTCCAAGTCATGGACGGAGCAGTCGGAATACCCGAAGGAGAAGTCAGGGGGCTACGCCCGCCCGTATAACAAGAAGCCCTTCAATCCGTCCTTCCAGAGGCAGCTCAAAACTGTGATGGAACGAACGGAGAAGCTGCCCAAGGAGGCGCTGCATAACAACCTCCGGGAAGACATGTTTTCCAGCTCAAATTATTCCTTCATGGATTCCTATTATAAGCCTTCCAGTGCCTACTACCCGCTGTACGACCGTGACGGCCGGCCCTTAGATGACAAGGATTACAGCATCCCGTCGCCCCCGGAGCGAGACCTCGGCCCCATGGGCGAGGCCACGCTGGGCCAAGTCACAGCAGCGCAGTTCGAAGAGTACGCTCGCCGTTACGAATTCGGCTACGCCGACTTGATAGTCAAGACGCCGCTGTTGGACCAACTCCGCCAGGAGTCGGTGACATGGGACGGCAGCTCTGAGCGGGACTCCGGTCGTGGAGAGAGCGAGAGTGTGGCAGACAGTGCCCGTTACAGTAATGGCCGAGAAAGTGTCACCACAGTCGTTACGAACTCTTCGTCGGCGTCATCGTCAGAAACACTCAAATGGCATGGCTCCCTCTCTGATATTTCCATCATGTCGGGTCACTCCCGAGACCCTCGCGGCGATCACAACATCGTTCATAGCTCGCGAGTCCAAGCTCCACAAAGGCATAACAGCGAGTCGGTCCTGTACTACGGCGTCGACGGGAGGGGAAAGCCGCCTCACGGGAGACTCGGCCATGAGTCCCGAGACCATCGCGATCTCCGAAGGTCCATCAGAGACACAGAATCCGGCTATCCTCGGCCCTCGCGCGAAGGGAAGTGGAGTCGAGAAGTAGAGAGAAACAATGAGATGAACAACCTGAAGAAATTCCCATCCTACTCGTACACACAGCCTTTGTCGCAGATCACAGAGGCCCCCACGGCAGAGATGCGGGAAACGCCCCGCTCGCCCACTCGCTCACCTCAGAGCCCCACCATAGACATTAGTAAACCGCCGTCCGTGGCTGAGCGCATTCACGAGTTGGAGCGCCAGTCAAGAAGTACTGCCCCGGAGGGGACGTCGTCACGCTGGCCCCGGGACCAGAGTGGCTCCAGGGAGAGAGGGGAGTCCAGAGATCTCCGCGAGACCAAGAGGCCACGCGAGGATTCCACATCACAGGACACACGGGAAAGTTGTGATGCGGTGGAACCTCGACCTTCGAAAGAGCCGAGAGATCCCAGGGAACATCGGGATAACAGGGACCTTAGCAGAGAACACAGGGAGCCCAGCGAGACGAGGGGCCACCAGCGACGTGGCTCTCGGGACTCGCAGCGAGGAGACATGCGGCTTGAATTCTCACGAACAGAGCAGAAATGTGAAAATGGTGACACCCTTCGTTCTCCCTCTACCCTGGGACCCTCGGCTTCACGGTCACCTACGCAGAAGGACGCCGACGGAAGACCCTTTGGCCATGAAAACTTCCAGAATCTCCTCAATACCTTCACAGAGGTTGATCGCAGTGACCGAGTAGATCGCGTATTAGAACGGCCTGAGAGAACGAGCAGCAACGTTTCGTACTCGTATCTGGACCCAGAGAAGAAGCTCAAGGTATCGGACGCCACACTCAAGAGCATACAGAAACAGGCGGTCATGTCGTTCTATGAGAGACACGCTGGGAAAAGCTCAGGCGGTGCGTCTCTCAGTGATCTCAGTTCTGCGAGCAGTCAGTCAAGCCTAGTGTCCTCCCCGACGGCGTCCGAAGGATCACAGGGCAAGTGGAGTGGCGCTTCACACGCTTCAATGATCCAAGCCGTGAGGACAGACCGGTCTGGGCGCGCTGGCAAGGGACTGGCTCGCTTAGGTCGGGTTCCGGAGGGCGAGAGTGATGAGCACTCGCTAAAACCACCTCGACGGCGGTCCATGAGTGGCCGCGACTCCGGGAGCGAAGGTGCTGACGACCTCTCCAAGGCTGGCTCCTCTCAGAGGTCATCCCTGGCGTCTGAAACCGCGTCATCCTCTCGGAGCGAGCAACCTCCAGCGCTTCCACAGAAGCAGTCCCAACAAGTTCATCAGGAGGTGAGTGTTCTGATTAATCACATGTTTTTTTTTTCCGCAAGCTAGTTACAAACGAACTTCTCAATAGTTTCTGTTAGACGCGGATTGAAACGTCAAATTTATCATCCTGCGGCCCGTTAAGGAAAGAATAATATGACACTTATGCAGTTCCTGACAATGAAAAATTATGTATGTTGACGACTGGAAACGCAATACGCGAATGGGAGGGCTAAGGCAGAGGGAGGGTTGGTATAGTGTTGGAAACAGTAGACTAAGGCGAAAAAATATATCATGGTGTTTTTTGACGTGTAATCTGTGTGTCATATAATCCTCATAGAATAAACGCTAAACAAACAAGCAACACATCCACCTGAATAAATACATGTCAGTGACAACTATTAACTTATCACAGCGAGTCTGTCGATTGCAAGTCAAACCTATTCGTATATTAACGTCCAGTTATCAAATAATGAATATACATTATATTATGTTCAAAGCAAGAGTTTGCTTACATAAAATTATTGAGAGTAATAACAAAAAATAACAGGACAGTTTTGATATGGACAAACAAAATGTGAATGTGAAGGCACGCCATATCGGTATTTGGTTTATACTTGTGTTTTGTTGTTGTTTCCAAAGCTTTTCAGCACTATACGATTTCCTGTTCGTCTAAGAATGAATAAAGAATATAGATAGACATAATAATTTGAATAATGTCTATGATTCGAGTTCTTGAAAAGAGCGAGATAAAAGGAAGGAAGAGAGAGAGCGAGATAAAAAGAAGAAAGAGAGAGAGAGTGGGATAAAAGGAAGAAAGAGAGAGAGAGTGCGATAAAAGGAAGAAAGAGAGAGAGAGTGGGATAAAAGGAAGAAAGAGAGAGAGAGTGGGATAAAAGGAAGAGAGAGAGAGAGTGGGATAAAAGGAAGAGAGAGAGAGAGAGAGAGGGATAAAAGGAAGAGAGAGAGAGAGAGAGGGATAAAAGGAAGAGAGAGAGAGAGAGAGGGATGAAAGGAAGAGAGAGAGAGAGAGAGATGGATGAAAGGAAGAGAGAGAGAGAGATAGGGATGAAAGGAAGAGAGAGAGAGAGTGGGATAAAAGGAAAAGAGAGAGAGAGTGGGATAAAAGGAAAGAGAGAGAGAGAGTGGGATAGAAAGAGAGAGAGAGAGTGGGATAAAAGGAAAAGAGAGAGAGAGAGGGATAAAAGGTAGAGAGAGAGAAGGATAAAAGGAAGAGAGAGAGAGAGAGAGAGAGAGAGAGAGAGAGAGAGAGAGAGAGAGAGAGAGAGAGAGAGAGAGAGAGAGAGAGAGAGAGAGAGAGAGGGGGGGGGGGATAAAAGGAAGAGAGAGAGAGAGGGATAAAAGGAAGAGAGAGAGAGAGAGAGAGGGATAAAAGGAAGAGAGAGAGAGAGGGATAAAAGGAAGAGAGAGAGAGGGGGGGATAAAAGGAAGAGAGAGAGAGAGAGAGTGGGATAAAAGGAAGAAAGAGAGAGAGAATGGGATAAAAGGAAGAGAGAGAGAGAGAGGGATAAAAGGAAGAGAGAGAGAGGGGGGGATAAAAGGAAGAGAGAGAGAGAGAGGGATGAAAGGAAGAGAGAGAGAGAGAGAGGGATGAAAGGAAGAGAGAGAGAGAGAGAGGGATGAAAGGAAGAGAGAGAGAGAGAGGGATGAAAGGAAGAGAGAGAGAGAGAGATGAAAGGAAGAGAGAGAGAGAGAGAGAGAGAGAGAGAGAGAGAGAGAGAGAGAGAGAGAGAGAGAGAGAGAGAGAGAGAGAGAGAGAGAGAGAGAGAGAGAAGGAAAGAGGAGGATAAGAGAGAAGAAAGAGAGAAAGAAGAGAGAGAGAGAAGACAGAAGAAGAGACAGAGAGAAAGGAGAGACAGAAGAAGAGAGACAGCAGAAGACAGAGAGGAAGAAAGCTGGGAAAAGAAAAGAAAGTGGAAAAAAGAAGAAAAGAGGTGAGAAAGAAGGAGAAAATGAAGATGAAAGGAAGATAGAGAGAGAGAAAGAAGAGAGGGTGATACAGAATAGGGGGAGAGGAAAAAGAGAGGGAGGGAGAGAATGAAAGAAGGGAGGGAAAGAAGAAATAGAAAGAGGGAGTGAGAAAAAAAAAAAAAAAAAAAAAAAAAAAAAAAAAAAAAAAAAAAAAAAAAACAGATAAAAGAATAACAAATGCGAGAGAGACAGGCTGATGGGCAGTTTTATTGATGGAAGACATGTACTCACTTATTCTCGCTCTCACACACTCTCGCTCTCATTCTCTTTCTCTCTTTCTCTTTTTCTCTTTCTCTTTTTCTCTTTCTCTCGTTCTCTTTCTCTCATTCTCTTTCTCTCATTCTCTTTCTCTCATTCTCTCTCTCTCATTCTCTCTCTCTCATTCTCTCTCTCTCTCTCTCTCTCTCTATCTCTATCTCTTACTCTTACTCCTCTGAGTACGTGCCCACGCTAGAAGGAGAGTAGAAAGTAATGAACAATGGAAACAGAGTGAGAGATGATATACACGAGTTCAAGTGATTAATGTGGCTGTAAACATTCAGTCAGTCAGTCAACGCTGCTGATAGCGGATGCCAGACAGGGCGAATTGGCAAGTCATGGCTGTTATAGTGAGAATGAATATATTCCGACAGTAATTCGCTGAGGAGGAATGATTAAGCGAATCGACGATGGATATATTAACGCAAAAAATTTGCATTGATGGCAATGAACGCTGCGGAGGTCATTATGGCGTGGTCGTCCTTCGCCTTTAAGGTCAAGTGGAGACGCCAAGGACCGATCAAAATGTCAGCTGTCCCGGCGAAGTAAATTTCTTGGGCGTACTTGACATCGTGTTTTGACGATGCTGTGCTTTGGATAAGGCGCTCGAGTTCAGTTGTTAATCCTGTTTGATCGGAGAGACTTGAATAGCGAAGCGATCTTGATGGGGTAGTATAAACGTTGATGCGTTGCTGTGTGCGATTTGAGAATGAATTTCTGATCACGGGACGGATAGGGAGGACGGGAGAGGATTGGCCAGGTCTCCCTCTCTTGCACATTCCTCACGTAGCGGAGCTGGTGTGCTGGCGTACATGCTGGACATGTAACATCGAGTCCACGGAGCCAGAATTGTCCACGGGGGCATTGGAGTGCTTGTGGTATGCGAACTGACATAGCGGTCATGTCCTGCTCGCGCCGCCTGCATATTAATCAGCCCGAGCTCTCTGTGTGCGTCTGTGCACCATGTTAAGTCAACAAGGCGCTCTGACAGCCTTCACTCCTGCGCTTCTCCTCGGCACTGTGACCCGCAGACCCTTAACGGTGTTCACAGGTCTCTGCAGTAGTGTTTGGAGAATCATGCTGCATTTTAGGAGACAGGTTGCAAGATCACCTGCGACTCGGGGTAGTTGACACCTTAGCCTACGTGGTTCATGCACATGAGGCCACCAGAGACGCCACGGAGGGCCACGCTGCATGACCAACTACCCTCCACGACGCCCACGAACACCTCGGTGAAGGATGGGACGGTCGAGATCCTCAGACCCTGGGAAAGAGACTGCCTCAGCCGCGTTCCGTAATATGCATGAAGGATGCTAATATAAAATAGACAGCCGGAACGTACCTATATTCTACCCTTTGGCCCCCCTTCCCCCTCTCCTCTTCCCTCCTCTGCCATAAACCTGCTTTCCCGTCCGCGCAACTTCGTGTCTAGTGCCCTTCGTTTTTATAATTTCATGTTTTTTTTTTTTTTCTAAACTACAACTATTCATCGAATTCCTTCTCCTTCACCTTTGTTTTTTTTCCAGAAATTACAGCCTTCTCTGCTCTCCCCTCCTTTCCTTGCCTCTCCTTACCTTTCCTCCCCTTCCCTCTCCTTTTTCTTTCCTCCCCTTCCCTCTCCTTTCTCTTTCCTTACCTTGCCTTCCATTCCATTCCATTCAATACCCCTTTATTCTCCTCTATAGCTCCTTCCTTTACTTCCCGCCCTCCCTCCTCCCCTCCTCCCCCCTCCCCTCCTCCCCCTTTGACCCTAGGGCAAGTTACATGCAGCGTAATTGCTCCTCGCTTTCCTGTCGCCATTATCCTTGATTATTTTCATTAGTTCGTTTTGTAATTAGCGGAGACCTCATCTCGAGAATCATCCCTGTACCTCGGAGGCGACTTAGCCATTCCCTGATTTCATTTTTTTTTTTCCTCTCTCTCTTTCTTCTCTCTCTCTCTCTCTCTCTCTCTCTCTCTCTCTCTCTCTCTCTCTCTCTCTCTCTCTCTCTCTCTCTCTCTCTCTCTCTCTCTCTCTCTCTCTCTCTCTTCTCTTCTCTTTCTCTTTCTCTTTCTCTTTCCTCTTTCTCTTCTCTTTCTCTTCTCTTTCTCTTTCTCTCTCTTTCTCTCTCTTTCTCTCTCTCTTTCTTTCTCTCTCTTTCTTTCTCTCTCTCTTTCTTTCTCTCTCTTTCTTTCTCTCTCTCTCTCTCTTCTCTTCTCTCTCTCTCTTTCTTCTCTCTCTCTCTCTTTCTCTCTCTCTCTCTTTCTTTCTCTCTCTCTCTTTCTTTCTCTCTCTCTCTCTTTCTTTCTCTCTCTCTCTCTTCTTTCTTCTCTCTCTTCTTTCTTTCTCTGTGTCTGCCTCTCTCTCTCTCTCTCTCTCTCTCTCTCTCTCTCTCTCTCTCTCTCTCTCTCTCTCTCTCTCTCTCTCTCTCTCTCTCTCTCTCTCTCTCTTTCTCTTTCTCTTTCTCTTTCTCTTTCTCTTTCTCTTTCTCTGACGTATTCGGCAGCGTGAGTGGGCTTTAGAGGAGGGGGCGTGGGCGGGGGTGAGAGGACTAAGAGTGTGGGCGGGGAGAAGTGTGGGTGTGAGTAGTAGTGACGGCAGACTGGGTAGTCAGACCGGTCGCCGAGGTCCCATGTACCTAGTAAGGGCCGCCCATGCCCATCGCCCCCTCCCCCCCGCCGCCCCTACGTCCCCTGATTCTGTCCCTGCGCGGTGGCGGTCACTCGTGTTTACTAAAGCTTTAGCTCGAGTATTAGACTTCACGAAACCCAAGAATAAACGTAGCATCTTAGTA